GGCAATAAAAACACGGCGTCCACTCACCCTCTGCGCTTTCACTGGGAGGTGCAATCCTGAGCTGTTCCTAAACGGCCATCTTGGATCCTCGCATCCGAAACTACTTATTGAAACTTAAAACTGGAAGAGCCCCAAGTTATTTTTTATGTGAATATAGTTAGTAATTTGCTTTTTAGAAATTGTTCTATATGCCAAATTAATGTACTTCTTAGTTTGATAAAACTAGGATATATATATACACACACATACACACACACACACACACACATCCATACATATATACATCTTTATATGTTTTAAGACTGAGTTTAATTTTTAAATAGAGATGTATTTAATGGGCTGGGCATGGTGGCTTATGTCTTTAACCCCAGTACTTTGGGAAACCAAAGCAGGAGGGTTGCTTGAAACCAGGTGTTAGAGACCAGCCTGGGCAACCACAGTGAGACCTCGTCTCTACAATTTTTTTTTTTAATTTAGCCAGACATCGTGGCACACACCTGTAGTCCCAGCTACTCAGGAGGCTGAAGCGAGAGAATTTTTTGAGCCCAGGAGTTTAAAGCTGCAGTGAGCTATGATCACACCAGTGCACTTCAGCCTGTGAGGCAGAGCTAGACACAGTCTCTTTAAAAATATATATGTGTGTATGTGTGTATTTTTTTTCAATGTTGTTTGGTGATTTTTAGAGGAAATTCATATTTATCACAAGTTCCCTGCAATGTAGTTCCCCTCCTTTGAAATATAATCATTTCAAACAATTAGGACTATATTCTTCTGGTTGGATATATATACACACAATAATGAAGTAATGTTATACATGCCCTTTTTTTTTTTTTTAACATAATTAAGATAGTATTCCATGACAATTCATATCTACCTGATTCTTTGTAACAGCCACATAGGATTCCATTATATGGACATACCATAATATATTTCTCTAATCTCATTTTCAGACTCTTGAGTTTTTAGGTTTTTATTATGAAAGATGAGCAAATATATTTTTAATAGATCAGACTAACACAGGAAGTAGTTAGATTAACAAAACTTAGGCAACCCTGCCATATAACCTTGCTTTAAATTAGTTATTCATACTTTAGGTCAGATCTTTATGGTATAGAAATTGTCAAATTTAAAAAATAAAAAAGTGGGCCGAGCGGTGGCTCAAGCCTGTAATCCCAGCACTTTGGGAGGCCGAGGCAGGTGGATCACGAAGTCAAGAGATCGAGACCATCCTGGTCAACATGGTGAAACCCCGTCTCTACTAAAAATACAAAAAATTAGCTGGGCATGGTGGTGCGTGCCTATAATCCCAGCTACTCAGGAGGCTGAGGCAGGAGAATTGCCTGAACCCAGGAGGCGGAGGTTGCAGTGAGCCGAGATCGCGCCATTGCTCTCCAGCCTTGGTAACATGAGTGAAACTCCGTCTCAAAAAAAAATAAAAATTAAAATTAAAAAGTTGTATTTTTCTTCACTTATTTACTTAGAACATTCTTTGACTTAAACTGTACCTAAGTTTTAGGATAATTATTTTATATTTTTCAGTTGATGAAATGTTTAAGTAAAACACTATACTTAACTGTTGTTTTTAAATACTAGATTCCTAGTTTTTTCACTGATGCCGAGAGAAGATCTGTGATGGCTGCCGCCCAGGTTGCAGGCTTAAATTGTTTAAGGCTGATGAATGAAACTACTGCAGGTAAGCACTTTGCAATTTGAAAATCAGTATAAGCAAAATACTGTTAAACATTTTTTTTCTGACTAATAGCAAAGCATTTTTTTTTTTTTTTTTTAACTCTGAGGCAAGAGGATTGCTTGAGCCCAGGAGTTGAAAGCAGCAGTGAGCTGTGATCACACCACTGCACTTCAGCCTGTGAGGCAGAGCTAGAGACAGTCTCTTAAAAAAAAAAAGTTATATATATATATATGTACACACACACACACATACACTACATACGTGTGTGTGTGTGTGTGTGTGTCGTGTGTGCGTGTATATGTACTGATTCTTCTAAGCTTGTGCCTTTGTAGTAGAACTTTTTGGCAGAGGTTAAATATGTCTTAATGGCTTTACAAATCATTACTATTATAGATATTATAGAGTTAATAGTTGAGTAGGGAAAAAAATAAAGTTAAAAATAACATTATTGGCTGGGCACAGTAGCTCATGCATCTAATCCCAGCATTTGGGAGACTGAGGTGGGCGGATCATGAGGTCAGGAGTTCCAGACCAGTCTGGCCAACATGATGAAACCGCATCCCTACCAAAAATATAAAAAATTAGCCGGGTGTGGTGACACACACCTGTAATCCCAGCTACTCAGGAGGCTGAGGCAAGAGAATTGCTTGAACTCAGGAGGCAGAGGTTGCCGTGAGCTGAGATCGTGCCACTGCACTCCAGCCTAGGCAACAGAGCGAGATTCTGTCTCAAATAATTATTAACCAAATTATGAAAAGTTATTTTATTTTGAAGATAATATGTATTACTGTACTGCATATTGCAGTATCAAAGTGACATTTCTTGTTGTCCAAGTAATTGCTATGCTAGAATTAACATAATTCTTTGTTCTTACACAGTTGCATTGGCATATGGAATTTATAAACAGGATCTTCCCTCATTAGATGAGAAACCAAGAAATGTAGTATTTATTGATATGGGACATTCTGCCTATCAGGTCTCGGTTTGTGCTTTTAACAAAGGAAAACTTAAAGTAAGTAAATTGTTTGCTATGTTTACATATATTAAGAGCACAGACTAAAGGACCATAATAGCTGGGTTTGAATCCTGGCTCCTGCCTCTTAAACCATGACCTCAAGCAGGTTATTTAATCTCTCTAAATCTTAAGTTCGTTTATCTGAGAACAACAACAGTAACTACCTGGTAGCATTTTACAGGACAAAATGAGTTAATGTATATAAAATTCTTGGAATGCCTGGCATAGAGTAGCTGCTATAATATGTATTAGCTATTTTTATTGTTGTTTCTATTTTTAGGTTGTTAATGAAGTCATCTATCAGGGAGCATAAATTGTTTATCTGTAAATATACTTATGGGAAACATTTTCCAAAATGATTCCCATTGATTTTAGAAACCTTTTTATCCAAACATCCTAATCATAATTTTACTTCTGTGTGCTGCTTACAAATTAGGATTTGTAATCACTTTTACATTGATTCTTTGTCCAAACTTACGATCTCTCTCCAGTATGCACAGAGTAGAGTTTACTTAGGAGATAAACTGCAACACTGTAAGAGCATTCTATTTCAATTTATTTTACTATAATAACTTCTTTGTAATCAGAAAATTAAAGGGAAATGACTCAGACTGAATGTAGGGTAATTTTCAGTGTAAGACTTAATTCTTGGCATTTAAAAGAACTTTTTTAAAAGAACTTTTTTCTTTCCTTGTAGTGAAATACAACTTTTAGATCACAGACCCCTTTGGAAATCCGAGCTATAGCCCTTCTTCCCAGAATACACACTTGTACTAGTTATATACCAAGATAATTTTGCATTTATTTTGGGTAATACTGGACTTCATGAGAAGTGTATACACAGATTCTCCATACTAGTCTGTGGGGCAACACCCCACACAGATTGCACTCATATCCTCCTGTGATATTTACCACCATACTATCACCCCATCACCCACCTTGCAAAGAAAGAGCTGCAAAACCGCATCAGCAGCAGGATTCTTTATTAGAATAGTGACTGTTCTAACTAGTCATTTTACCCAAGGGAGTGAGCCTAGATGTCTGGTCCTATGCTTTCAAGAACTATAGTGTTGAATTTCTATGACTTGCTTACCCTTTTTGCTGGGAAACCTGTTGCTCAACCAGTTTGTTCAATTGTTACTTGTCTCTTTTCACTTGTTTTATTTACACTCTCTATCCTTTTGTTTCTTATATATTTCTGTAAAAATAATCTGAATTGTGGTTTTTTTGTTGGTTGGTTTTTGTTTTTGTTTGGTTTTGGTTTTGTAATAGTCAAAAGGCCTAATTTCTGACCTGTAAATTGACCAATTATGGCATTTTATATTTAATCTCTGAATCTGCTTTTCTTGTTTTGTTCTCATTTATATGCTTAGGACTGTTTCTTTGCTCTCTTAAGCCTTATTTTGGTCTATCTGTTCGGCGCTCTTGTAGAACCAAATGAGTAAGATAATGAGGCTGTAGTTGTTGTAATTCAGTTATTTCTGAATTAGAATTATTCTTTTAATTATGATATATGGATCTGTAACTATAAAGCAGAAAATTAAGAATAAGGAAATGTGTTGGCTAAATATAAGTGATAATTTAACTCTGATTCCAAATTCAGCACCCCTGTGATTTGATACGTTTTTTAGCATCATTTTTATTTTTATTTTAGAGGTTTTTCTTTTTTTCCTTTTTTTTTTTTTTTTTTTTTTTT